TGGAGGTCAGGGGGCATGTGGAGGTCAGGGGGCATGTGGAGGTCAGGGGGCATGTGGAGGTCAGGGGCCATATGGAGGTCAGGGGCCATATGGAGGTCAGGGGGCATGTGGAGGTCAGGGGGCATGTGGAGGTCAGGGGCCATCTGATGGCCATATGGAGGTCAGGGGGCGTGAGGTCAGGGAATGTGGTCATATGGAGGTCAAGCCATGGGGAGGTCAGGGCGTGTGGAGGTCAGGCCATGTGGAAGTCAGGAAGATCAGCCTTGACCATATGGAGGTCAGGCCATATGGAGGTCTGGGGCCATGTGGAGGTCAGAGACGTGGCCATATGGAGGTCAGGGGGCGTGGTAGACTTGGTGGAGGTCAGGGCGTGGTGAGGTCAGGTTCCATGTGGAGGACATGAGGAGGTCAATGGGCGTATGGTGGACATATGGAGGTCAGGGGCCATATGGACATGTGGAGGTTAGAGGCCATGTGGAGGTCAGGCCATATGGAGGTCAGGGGGCGTGTGGAGGTCAGGCCATATGGAGGTCAGGCTTGTGGAAATTGGGTCAAGGAGTGTATATATTGAAATTGTCCTAATAGCGATGCATTTTTTCGCTCATCTTTATTTTTGCCGAATGAAGAATATATCACCAATATTTTGACAAGATGATATACGAGTGTATGCTCATCTCTACCACACGTTTTTAATACATCACACGTCTACACATGACCCACATATCACCTCCATGACCCACATTTGACCCCATGACCCACTTATCTGACTTACTTCCCCCGGCAGGTGACGGCGATCGTGAACGCGACGCGCGGCGCCACGGCGCTCGACTTCGTCTTCAAGACGGGCATGATCTTCTGGACGGACATGCGGGACAAGTGCATCTACAAGTGGGTCAGGGTGACACACTTATGTGTAGGGCTGGTGACGGGCATGATCTTCTGGACGGACATGCGGGACAAGTGCATCTACAAGTGGGTCAGGGTGACACACTTATGTGTAGGGCTGGTGACGGGCATGATCTTCTGGACGGACATGCGGGACAAGTGCATCTACAAGTGGGTCAGGGTGACACACTTATGTGTAGGGCTGGTGACGGGCATGATCTTCTGGACGGACATGCGGGACAAGTGCATCTACAAGTGGGTCAGGGTGACACACTTATGTGTAGGGCTGGTGACGGGCATGATCTTCTGGACGGACATGCGGGACAAGTGCATCTACAAGTGGGTCAGGGTGACACACTTATGTGTAGGGCTGGTGACGGGCATGATCTTCTGGACGGACATGCGGGACAAGTGCATCTACAAGTGGGTCAGGGTGACACACTTATGTGTAGGGCTGGTGACGGGCATGATCTTCTGGACGGACATGCGGGACAAGTGCATCTACAAGTGGGTCAGGGTGACACACTTATGTGTAGGGCTGGTGACGGGCATGATCTTCTGGACGGACATGCGGGACAAGTGCATCTACAAGTGGGTCAGGGTGACACACTTATGTGTAGGGCTGGTGACGGGCATGATCTTCTGGACGGACATGCGGGACAAGTGCATCTACAAGTGGGTCAGGGTGACACACTTATGTGTAGGGCTGGTGACGGGCATGATCTTCTGGACGGACATGCGGGACAAGTGCATCTACAAGTGGGTCAGGGTGACACACTTATGTGTAGGGCTGGTGACGGGCATGATCTTCTGGACGGACATGCGGGACAAGTGCATCTACAAGTGGGTCAGGGTGACACACTTATGTGTAGGGCTGGTGACGGGCATGATCTTCTGGACGGACATGCGGGACAAGTGCATCTACAAGTGGGTCAGGGTGACACACTTATGTGTAGGGCTGGTGACGGGCATGATCTTCTGGACGGACATGCGGGACAAGTGCATCTACAAGTGGGTCAGGGGGACACACTTATGAGGGAATCTTAGTTGTGTACAAGTGGGTCAGGGGGACACACTTACGGGGGGAACTTTAGTTGTTTACAAGTGGGTCTGGGGACACACTTATGAAGGAACCTTAGTTGTGTACAAGTGGGTCAGGGGGACACACTTATGAGGGAATCTTAGTTGTGTACAAGTGGGTCAGGGGGACACACTTACGGGGAACCTTAGTTGTGTACAAGTGGGTCAGGGGGACACACTTATGAGGGAACCTTAGTTGTGTACAAATGCATCCACAAGTGGGTAACGGCAACTCGCTTACGAGGGGGATTTAGGTTAGTACAGGTGCATCTACGAGTGGGTCATAACGACACACTTATGAGGGTAAAACACTTTTCTAGTCCTGGTATCATGGGTAATTAGGTTCAATTAATTAATTAATTAGACGAAGGTAATGAGTTATTAATAAGCACCGTCCTCCTCAGGGCCCCCATTGACGAGGGCGCCAAGAAGGAGGTGGTCATCCAGGACGACGTGACCACGTCTGATGGTCTGGCGGTCGACTGGATCTACAACCATCTGTACTGGACCAACTCTCAGCTGGACACCATCGAGGTGCGTGATCTACAACCATCTGTACTGGACCAACTCTCAGCTGGACACCATCGAGGTACGTGATCTACAACCAACTGTACTGGACCAACTCTCAGCCTGTCTCTTATACACATCTAGATGTGTATAAGAGACAGCAACTGTACTGGACCAACTCTCAGCTGGACACCATCGAGGTACGTGATCTACAACCATCTGTACTGGACCAACTCTCAGCTGGACACCATCGGGGTACGTGACGTCACTCAGAAGCTGTGACGTCACACAAGGGAGGCTATATAAGGCAGCTCTCAGTGGACACCCGCAGTGCAGGCAGCGACGCGGTCGCGTCAGGACGTACTGTGCTGCTGCTGCTCCGGCACCTGAAATCCCTTCAGGGATCGGGTGATTATTCTTATTTCTTCACTGGGAGCCAGGGGCCATACTTTCAAAACTGGCTAAGTGAACGTAAGTACTTACGCTCTATTTTCAAAACTCGGTAAGTGAACGTAAGTACTTACGCTCTATTTTCTTGTCTATGATTGGTGGATTTTGCTCGAAAGGCCGTTAATGATTGGCTGATGAACTTACGATCTCTTCACTTTATATGAAATTATAGGCCCTGAGTCCCCCCTCTGCCCCCCATAATTACAACCCCTCTGCCCCCCATAACTCTACCCTCTGCCCCCATATTTCTACCCCTCTGCTCCCCATAACTCTAACCCCCCTGTCCCCAGCTGTCTGACCTGGCGGGGGGCATGCGCAAGACGCTGCTGAGGGACGACATAGACGAGCCGCGCGCCATCGCCCTGTACCCTCTGGAGGGCTGGCTCTTCTGGACGGACTGGGGGCGCCGCCCCAAGATAGAGAGGGCGGGCATGGACGGCACGCACCGCCAGGTGGGGGGGCGACGTCCCCATGGGGCTTGAAAATTTTCGCCAGAAGCTGCGGATAGGAAAGTGGTTCATGATTTAGACATATGACCTATTAATTTTTTTTGAGATCAGTATAGAGTTTGAGTGCTCATGGCGAGGAATGTGTGTAGAAGCACAACAGCACCATTTTCCAAATTTTCATGGTACGTTATTCAGTTTTTTATTGAGCATTGAATGACGTATGGATGAGGCAACAAAATTTGCACTCCGCCCAGGCTTCTGCCATTGAGTCGCTACAGTCGCTGAGAGTATGACAAGTGTGTCCTGAGAGTATGACAAGTGTGTCCTGAGAGTATGACAAGTGTGTCCTGAGAGTGTGACAAGTGTGTCCTGAGAGTATGACAAGTGTGTCCTGAGAGTATGACAAGTGTGTCCTGAGAGTATGACAAGTGTTTCCAGGAGAGGCCTGCACTTCAGGCCCGGCCGAGGCTGACATTAGCGGCTGATTTACGTGCACCCCGAGTCCTGGGTGGCACCTGATGCAGAGTCAGGCCAGCATCTAAATTTTGCTGAAGAATTGTATCTTAAAATTGTGTTAGGAAACGGTTAAATGAGTTTTTTTTATGTACCGAAAAGCCCCAGCTGACCATTTTGAACCCCTTTTTTGACCCCCGTAGCCCTTTTTTGACGCCCGTAACCCTTTTTTTTGGCCCGTAACCCTTTTTTGACCCCCGTAACCCTCTTTTTGACCTTTGTAACCCTTTTTTTTTGTTTCCCTAACCCTTTCTTGACCTCCGTAGCCCTTTTTTTGACCCCCGTAACATATTTTTGGCCCCCGTAACACTTTTTTGACCACCCTAAACCCCGTGTCCGCCGTGCAGGCCATTGTGACGGACAGGATCCGGTGGCCGAACGCGCTGACGCTGGACCTGGTGCTGCACAAGCTGTGCTGGGCGGACAGCAAGGAGCACAGCATCAACTGTGCTGACTTCGATGGTGCAAACAGGAGGGTGAGTGCTGTGCAGGGGGAGGGTGAGTGCTGTGCAGGGGGAGGGTGAGTGCCTGTCTCTTATACACATCTAGATGTGTATAAGAGACAGTCTAAGGACACACTTGTCATACTCTCAGGACACACTTGTCATGATCTCAGGACACACTTGTCATACTCTCAGGACACACTTGTCATACTCTNCCGTGTGGGAGGACACTAACCCTCCCCCTCTCCCCCAGACGGTGCTACACTCCCCCGAGGCTCTCCCCCACCCCTTCTCCCTGACCGTGTGGGAGGACACTAACCCTCCCCCTCTCCCCCAGACGGTGCTACACTCCCCCGAGGCTCTCCCCCACCCCTTCTCCCTGACCGTGTGGGAGGACACTAACCCTCCCCCTCTCCCCCAGACGGTGCTACACTCCCCCGAGGCTCTCCCCCACCCCTTCTCCCTGACCGTGTGGGAGGACACTAACCCTCCCCCTCTCCCCCAGACGGTGCTACACTCCCCCGAGGCTCTCCCCCACCCCTTCTCCCTGACCGTGTGGGAGGACACTAACCCTCCCCCTCTCCCCCAGACGGTGCTACACTCCCCCGAGGCCCTCCCCCACCCCTTCTCCCTGACCGTGTGGGAGGACACTAACCCTCCCCCTCTCCCCCAGACGGTGCTACACTCCCCCGAGGCCCTCCCCCACCCCTTCTCCCTGACCGTGTGGGAGGACACTAACCCTCCCCCTCTCCCCCAGACGGTGCTACACTCCCCCGAGGCCCTCCCCCACCCCTTCTCCCTGACCGTGTGGGAGGACACTAACCCTCCTTCTCTCCCCCAGACGGTGCTGCACTCCCCCGAGGCCCTCCCTCACCCCTTCTCCCTGACCGTGTGGGAGGACACGCTCTTCTGGACGGACTGGACGAAGGAGGCCGTCTTGTCCACCAACAAGTTCACCGGCGGCAACCTGTCCACCATCGCCCACCTACACGTCAGTACCACGATTATTACTGGTACTAGGTATCGGTACCCGCCTCCTGCCAGTATTGGTTACTAGCAACTGAATCACTAGTCACTAGTAATAGTCACTAGTAATAGTCACTAGTACTAGTAACAAGTAACTGAATCACTAGTCACTAGTACTAATCACTAGTACTAGTCACTAGTAACTGAATTACTAGTCACTAGTAACTGAATCACTGGTCACTAGCACTGGTCGCTAGTAACCAGTAACTGAATATCTCGAGTTGAATGAGGCGCGTGCTACTAGATTATGTGTTTTATTAATTGTATTAATGGTAGGTTAAAAAAAAGGTACAGCGTAAAAAAGTACGTAGCGTGGCCTGGGGCGGCTACGCGCGCAACACGTACTCAGGACACTATAAGGATACTGGGGACTTGTTTATGGCCTGCCTAGTGACGTCTTTATTGTATACCTAGTGACACCTACTCTAGCACCTAGATGCGTGCGTATCTAGGCTGTATAGTACTGCATATCATAGTCCACATTATGGTTCTTTACTAGTGCACTAGCCCTTAGACACCAGTACTCACCTCTACTATCCTACCTACTTACCTTCCTACCTACAAGTCCTTCTTACCTCTGAACTGACCTACCTGCCCACCTAACTACCTCTGAGCTGACCTACCTGTCCACCTACCTGCCTCTGAACTGACTTACCTAACTACCTCTGAGTTGACCTACCTGTCCCTTTACCTACTTCTGAACTGACTTACCTACCTACCTCTGAGCTGACCTACCTGTCCCTCTACCTACTTCTGAACAGACTTACCTACCTACCTCTGAGCTGACCTACCTGTCCCTTTACCTACTTCTGAACAGACTTACCTACCTACCTCTGAGCTGACCTACCTGTCCCTTTACCTACTTCTGAACAGACTTACCTACCCACCTACCTACTTCTGAACTGCCTTGTATACCTACCCACCTACCTACCCACCTACCTACTTCTGAACTGCCTTGTATACCTACCCACCTACCTACTTCTGAACTGCCTTGTATACCTACCCACCTACCTACTTCTGAACTGCCTTGTATACCTACCCACCTACCTACATCTGAACTGTCATCTCACCCCCCACATTTCACCCCCTATGTCACCCCCACATCTCACCCCTCTCCGCCTCGCTGCAGTCCCCCCGCCGCGGTCCCGCAGCCCCAGCGTTCGCAACTCTGACAAGAGAAACCACCGAGAAACCAGCGCCTGCGTTCAGAACTTACGCCTCAGTGGTTTCCAGTGGCTTAGTGGCTTCCAGTGGTGCTAGAGTTACCAGTCCTCTGGTTTCTAATGGTTCCGAACCAAGGGTTCACAATAAAGGTTCCGATGTGGTCTCTGGAACTGACGAGAACCCGAACGAAGAACCGAAACCGTCCTCGGTCTTTGGTTTCTTGCACGGTTTATTCTCGCAGGTTGCTGGTGGTACCACTGCCCCAGTACCTGCTGGTGGTACCACGGCCCCAGTACCTGCTGGTGGTACCACGGCCCCAGTACCTGCTGGTGGTACCACGGCCCCAGTACCTGCAGGTGGTACCACGGCCCCAGTACCTGCTGGTGGTACCACGGCCCCAGTACCTGCTGGTGGTACCACGGTCCCAGTACCTGCTGGAAACCTGGTCTCTGGTACCGAAACCAGTGGAGATGCTGGACAAACCAGTGGAGATGCTGGACAAACCAGTGGAGATGCTGGACAAACCAGTGGAGATGCCGGACAAACCAGTGGAGATGCTGGACAAACCAGTGGAGATGCCGGACAAACCAGCGGAGATGCTGGACAAGTCAGTGGAGATGCTGGACAAACCAGTGGAGATGCTGGACAAACCAGTGGAGATGCTGGACAAGTCAGTGGAGATGCTGGACAAACCAGTGGGGATGCTGGACAAACCAGTGGGGATGCTGGACAAACCAGTGGAGATGCTGGACAAACCAGTGGAAATGCTGGACAAACCAGTGGAAATGCTGGACAAACCAGTGGAAATGCTGGACAAACCAGTGGAGATGCTGGACAAACCAGTGGAGATGTTGGACAAACCAGTGGAGATGCTGGACAAACCAGTGGAGATGCTGGACAAACCAGTGGAGATGCTGGACAAACCAGTGGAGATGCTGGACAAACCAGTGGTGGACAAACCAGTGGAGATGCTGGACAAACCAGTGGAGATGCTGGACAAACCAGCGGAGACGACTACGTTAGTGACTCAGATGGTGACTCTGGTAATGGTGATTATTATGGCGACTCTGAGTCACCATCAGCTGGTGACTCAGCTGGAGTCGGCAGCTGGCTTTATGACACACTTTGGGGTGAGTCAAGAAGTGAGTCAGGCTCTGAATCTGGGTCAGATCCAGCCGGTGCCCTGAATCGGGACGATTCAATTAATGAATCTGAATCTACGACTTCGGATTCAACCACTCAAACCCTGGGTTCAACCACAGAAATCGCAATTTCAACGCTGGGTTCAAATGAACAGCCACTGGTGGGTTCGAATTCAACCCAGCTCGAAATTTCGCCTCGAAAATACCAAGACTTCAACCCAGATTCCACCCTGAATATCGTTCCAACTTTCAACCCAAAGTTCGGTTCCCAGCAAACTTCGTGGTTGGGTGGGGTTGGAAAAACCTCAGGCGAAGTTGAATCCTCAACAACTTCGACGGTTGATACAACCTCGGACGAACCCAGCACGGTTGATACAACCTCTTCTGAACCCAACCCGGTTGATTTAACCTCGGCCGAACCCAGCCAGGTTGATTTAACCTCGGCCGAACCCAGTACGGTTGATACAACCTCTTCTGAACCCAGCCCAGTTGACCCAACCTCGACCGAACCTAACCCGGTTGACACAACCTCTTCTGAACCCAGCCTGGTTGACTCAACCTCGACCGAACCCAGCCCGGTTAACACAACCTCGTTCGAACCCAGAACAGTTCAACCCAAACTGTTGCGCGCGCGTTGGTTTGGTTATTCCCATCGACGGCGACGAAACGTGGCGGACGAACATGGGTTGAAATCTGCACCACTTCATGATTCAACCGCTGAAACTGATGAATCTGTAGCAGCTGAAATTAACGTCGTGAGAATTTCAACCAGGGAAGAATATTCAACCGAAACTGCGGCTACTTCGACCCAAAATGCATCGAATTCAACCGAAAATGCGTCAATCTCAACCGAAACTGCGTCCATTTCAACCGAAAAAGATTCAATGGATAACCGTCGCGTTTTCGAACCTGAACATGCCGGGGTTAAACCCGTTGGGTTGAAGGGGTTGAGAACCCCAGACTCGGTCCCCCATAAAAACAAAATTAGCGACTGGTTGAAGTCTCGGGTTGAAAAGAAGGAACATCTTCTTCGTCTCGAAGAGCACGCTCGCTGGCAGGAAACCTTCAACAAGTTCCAACACAACCACAAGGTTGGAAAACTTTCCACGAGTTCAGTAGTGGGTTGAAGTTGAAAAACGTTGGTTTGGGTTGAACCCTAATGCCTTGAGTAGTGGGTTGAAGTTGAAAAACGTTGGTTTGGGTGGTTGTGTTTAACCCCAATGTCTTGCGTAGCAGGTTGAAGTTGAAAAACATAAGTCCGGATCTTCGGGTTCAACCCCCATGTCTTGAGTAGTGGGTTGAAGTTGAAAAACATTAGCCCGTGCCTTCGGGTTTAACCCTCCGTGTCTTGAGTAGTGGGTTGAAGTTGTGTAGTTTGTGGTGGGGTTGAACACACCCGTCGTGGTTGTAGCGGGGCGCACGTGGTGAGGTTGAATTTCTTGCATCAATGCACATTTTTTCCAGTATAATAAGTTGATATTTTTATACCCCGGTTTTAATTTATTTTATAACTATGAATGTTATATTTTTGAATATATTTTTGAATGATTTTGAAAGCAAGATGAACGGTTGAAAAAATTATGTAAAAAGTTTTAATAATCGGATAAACATTTAATAAATGAGTAGAAGAATTGATGTAATATCAAGAATAGATTATAAATGAATATCATTGTTACAGTTGATGAATATAAATGGTATTAATTGAGTGATAGAAAATTTTTTTTCTTGGTGGGTAACTGAACTAAATTTGAGTCGTCTATAATATTTACATAATATCATAAATACATATAATAAATATATAATATGATATAAATATATACGGTACCTAAATATATATATATATTTAATATTTCTATAATATTAAAAGTATTATAGCCCGGCCGAGTATAACTATAAAACCGAGCATATAAATATATAATATATATTCGATTACATATTTATTACATGTACTCGTGTGCTGCTGTGTAGTTTGCACTACCATTCAAATGTATGTATTAACATTCACCATTAATACTGAGTTGTCTGTATATGTAGGTTGATATTAACATACTAATATTGTGAACTTTTCTGTGTGGTTTGAATAATATACAATGTTGGGGTGTATAGATTTGTTAATAGAGTAAAGTGACTATATATTTATCATTTATTTATAATTTTAATTATATTACTTCATATTTTTAAAATTTATATTGTTAGTGTTAAATCATGTGACGTACCATGTGACGTACCAACGTACCATGTGACGTACCAACGTACCATGTGACGTACCAACGTACCCCGCAGATCCCGATGACGGTGCACGTGTACCACAGCTACCGGCAGCCCAACAGTACCAACCACTGTACCCCGCTGAACGGCCTCTGCACCCACCTCTGCCTGCCCGCGCCTCAGGTACTTAACAGGGTACTTAACGGGGTACTTAGTGGGAAACTAGGCGGGGTACTAGGCAGAGTACTTGGCGGGATACTTGGGGTACTTGGACGGGTACTTCAGGGGTATTTGCCGGGGTATTTGGCCGGGTACAGAACTGTAGGTATACTTACGGTGGTACTTGGGATACATTCGGGGCAGTTGGGGTACTTGGACGGGTAATTCAGGAGTCCTTGGGGTACTTGGCGGAGTACTTAACGGGTACTAGGTAGGGTACTTGGCGGGATACTGTAGGGGTACTTATGGTACTTGTGGGGTACTTAGAGTACATGCGGAGTACATGGACGGGTATTTCAGGGGTACTCGGCGGGACAGAACGGTGGGTATACTTATGGTGGTACTTGGCATACATTCGGGGTACTTGGAGTTTAGTTCATGTTCTTAGTTTAGTTTTATTAAAGAATAAATCTTATTTTTTCTAGAAAATAAGCCATGCATTACAAGATAGGGCGACGACGAAGATAGTTCAGTTATCGCTACAAACATTTTCTTTGCGGTGATTCGTAGAAAACGAATTTTTCGATATTTCATAAAAAACGACCCTCCTAAGAAGTGAATACCTTGTAGTTAAATGTTTTCGGAGGTGGGGGGTTGGAAAGTGGTTAGCTTCAAGTGGACCCAATGACCCCTCATGTTAACCCCCCTTCTTCAATCCTCTCGTTAACCCCTCTCATTGACCCCCTCCTTAATCCCCTTATTAACCCCTTCATAATTCGCCCGTTTACCCTCTCATTAACCCTCCCCTCACTAACCCCCCCCCTTCATTAACCCGCTCATTAATCCCCTTATTAACCCTCCCCTCATTAACCCCCCCCTTCTCATTAACCCCCTCATTAACCTCCTCATTAACCCCCTCATTAACATGAGTGATGGCCTGACGTGTGAGCTGAGTGGTGAGTGATGTGGCCTCACGTGTGAGCTGAGTGGTGAGTGATGTGGCCTCACGTGTACTCATTAGAATTTATTATCGTTTACTAATAAAATATTTTAATAATTATACAAATTATATATAGAATATATATATATATATACATATTGATTATTAATTGAAGTAATATTAATATTGTTGTATGTACGTAATGTTTTTTTTAATATTTCAAGCCATTAAACTTGGAAAAAAGATATTAAACACATAAATATTATGACATAAAATTAGTTAATGTATATTAATAATAAAGTAATTTAATATAAATTATCAAACATTGAGTGCACTGAACCCATTGACCTCTCACCCCTCCCCCCCCGCAGGCGAGGCCCCCCGGTCCCCCTCGGCGCCCCCCGCCACGGGGGTGCGGGGGTGGGCGTCAGGGCGGGAGGAGGGGGACGGTCCCCCGCCCTCCCGGGGGACGAGCGCCCTCGTCGTGGCCGCCACCGCCGCCCTCGCCGCCCTCTGCGCTGCCGCCCTCGTGCGTGCCGTAAAATATTATCTACCCTCACGTCTACCTGAACTTTTCTACTTTATGCTCCTATTTTCTACTTTTTTTTGTATGATTTTCCATTTTTTTGATATGATTTTCTACTATTTGATGTAATTTTCTACTTTTCTGCTCTTATTTTCTACTTGTGCTCTTATTTGCTACTTTTTGGTGTAATTTTTCTACTTTAACTTTCTACTTTTCTACCTGTCTGCGTCCCGATAAAAAGGGTGCACCGCAACATCTTGATAGCATCCGAAATGCGATGGTTTCCTTGATCATGAATCCAGTTATTATCTGCTGGTAGATGTCATTCCCTGCTGGTAGATGTCATTCCCTGGAACTACCTTATGATGACTTTAGAACTTCGTAGTCAAGCTGATGCTCCACCTTCGTCGTGGGACTGTACTCCAGTGAGTACAGTCCCAGGTGTTCCTTCCCCAGTAGTTCAGGTTCAGCTCCCTCATGCCGCTGATCCTGTACGTGAAGGTCCGCTGCACTGCCTCCAGTTTCCGCACCGCACCCGCCTTGAGTGGCGACCAAAGCTGGCAGCAATACTCAAGATTTGGGAGCACGAGGGCTCTGAAGAGTGTAATCATTGGCGCTGCTTCTCTCGTTCGAAATGTCCGCCATATCCACCCCATCCGTTGCCGGCTGCGCGTGACCATTTCCTCGATATGGGCATCGAACGTGGCTTCAGTACTCATCAACACTCCGAGATCTCGAACTATAGTTGCGATCCGACTCTCTGCACGCCAGAAGACAGTTACTTTAACTTTCACTCGTACAATGACGGGTATTTTAAAATTATACATTTCGGCGTTCATTCGTTCACGAATGTCACAGGCTGCAATGTGTCAAAAATACACAGTTACCTTCTGTTGGGTCCCCGGTCATGTTCGGGTGGCAGGCAACGAAGCCGCGGATGAGCTTTCACGCAATGCGTCGGCTAGAGAGACGCCGCACTGGAATGAAACTGTTCCCTATCGAGACCATTATGTTTAGCAAGAAACTGCTGGACGAGTGGCAAGAAGAGTGGACACATCTTGAAAATAACAAACTCCGACAAATTAAAGAGTGCGTAAGGCCTTGGCCATCATCGTCCCAGCGCGTACGCCGGGTGGAGGTATGCCTCACTCGTCTCCGCATTGGACACTCAAGAATCACTCATGGCCATCTCATGGACACTCAAGAATCACTCATGGCCACTCATGGAACGCGCACCTGCTCCTTACTGCATGGACTGCTTAGTGCCCCAGACCGTAACCCACTTCCTCTGTGAATGTCCGTCTTATGGTGATGCCCGGCGGCAATTTTTCCCCTACCTATGCCAAGACAACCCCATGTATGGCACAGTACCTAAATGGTACTTGTATGGCACAGTACCTAAATGGTACTTGTATGGCACAGTACCTAAATGGTACTTGTATGGGCACAGTACCTAAATGAGCACTCGATAGTACCATGTAATAAGTAGCACTAACTGCGTACTAATGTACCCTGGTACTCGGCAGGAGCACCAAGCAGTACCAGTAAGGTGGGCAGCACAAGTACCTTCTGCAGCGGCGGCAGACGCGCGTACCACGCACCACCCAACGACGAGGTACGTGGGGGTACTTGCAGGGTACTTGGAAATGGTTTGGGGTACTTTTTTATGCAGGATGATTCACGGAAACTTCCTGATTTGAAAGTTCATTAAAAAAATAACTAGTGAAGATATTTCAATATATATTTCATTGAAAAATAAATCACTTGAACTTTTGTATTACTTTGTTTTGACGGCCTCAATTGTCAATACATTCGGTTAATCGATTTTTGAAGTTCCATTCAACAAATCAAATTAACGGGTATGTTAGCGATGGCTTGGCGTATGTTGTTGAAATGAGGAAGAGTAATTTGACATTCATTGTAAATAATTGAATTAAAATTACCCCCATAAAAAGAACACATCCACTTGCTCTAAATGTGTTCACCCACGTTACAATCTATTTCTGATCAAGAGGAATAAGACGGAAACGAGTACGGAATGTGCGTTGAGATAGCGATAATGGAACAGCAAACGCACGCCGCTCACTTGTCCAATGCATAGTGGCAACTGACTAGGCGGGACACAAAACTTCATGACCTTTTTTTATATGAAATACTCCCCGCCCTTTTCGCACATCTGGCTTTTTGGCGCACAAAACAGGAAGTCTCCGTGAATCTTTTGATATGAAATGATGATGGAAATGATGATGGCGGAGGGAAAATGATGGTACAGCGTTGGCTGGTACAGTTGGTACAGCAACATCTCTTGACTGGTACGGTTCTTCTTCGAGGGTACGCGTCCATTAGTCAATTACTCACTAATTGTGTCCTCCAAACATTCCTTCTTCATAATGATTTTAATTTATTTTAATTATTGTATTAAAATACTTGCAATTAATCACTTGATTAAATATAATCATGGCGATGTACATGTCTGCTTTTAAAAGTGCCTGTAATTTTTGTGTTGGAACAAAGAGTTGTCGCTGGATCTGCATGATTATAATCATCATTTAGAATACATGCAGAATATTGACGATGAAATATTATTATTTAATGGATCGGAATCAGTATTTTGATTGTTCCGTGCAGTTCTGTTTAATTAAAGGTTCTCAAATTACATCTAATTATCTTTTTCTCTCTCTCCGTTGCACCCTTCCTTGCTTCATATATCCCTTCTCTCCTTCCTTCCCTCCACCTTTGCCCCCTTTTTTCCTGCCTCTGCTCCCTGCCTCCTTCCGTGACTGACTGCACATCTTTGCACATCACTGGCCCATCATCCTCGTCCCTCATCGGCCAATCATCCTCGCCCCTCATCGGCCAATCATCACCGGCCAATCATCCTCGCACATCATCGGCCAATCATCACTGGCCAATCATCCTGGCGACTCGTTCATACCCACGCGAGATTGGCCGTACAGACAGCCGCCCTAACCTCCTCTGGCCTAACCCCCTCTGGTGCCCCCTCCTCCCCCTCCAAGTTCTAACCTTGCTGCCCAGGAGCCCGCCACGTGGGTATTGCATGGGGCACTCACATAACTTCATGGGTCATGTTGCCCAAATAGTGACACACGTTCTGCTGGTAGCACTGATACGCCCTTATTGCATGGGGCACTCGCATAACTTCATGGGTCATGTTGCCCAAATAGTGACGCATGTTCTGCAGGTAGCACTGATACGCCCTATTGCTGGGCCAAACTGGGTCAGGATGACACATGTTAGGGATAAATGTGTGTCGCTATTTGGACAAGGTCTCGCTATTTTATACTCGTTATTTTATTTTGATCGCCTCAGTGAAAAAAAATGACATCAGCTTTAAAAACTTCATATAGAGTTAACTGCTGTTAATTCGTGTTAATTTTCTGTTTATGGTCTCTGGTTAATAATGTTTTAGCCAAGTTTATGTCTAATTATAACTAAGTTCTTAAAAAACATCCCCTTGGCTACTAGAGTGGAGCTCTGATTTGCTGCCTCACTCGCGCTGCCGCCGATGTTGTCGTACACTGGCGCTGCCG